AGGAATCCGCCGTCGTCTTCTGGTGGAACCGACCTTCGAATCTCTTCATCCAACACTTTCACTCGAAATGAAAGTAAGCTCAACAATTATGAAACAAGAGATTCCTCGAAAGCCAAATTTTCTTCGCATATACAAAGTTCTTATACACCATATTTATGCTAATTTCCCACTCGAAGACTAGATACTTCATCAAAATTGAGTTGAAATACTTCACTCGTAAATTTATTGTCAAAGATAGTGTGGCTACAGTCTTTTTTTACAGTGTAAAATTAGCTTAACCTCGTTTTGTGCTTAGTGTCAGGAAGATCTCGAAGAAATTATCCAGTCCGGAATAGTCATGGTAAGTTCTCGCATCTGAGCTTTCATCAATTTTCCCAGCGCAATGCTGCAGCTAGTCAAAGCTGGTTTAATAACTCAGGTTTTTTCAATGACACGAATCAATAACTGGTATATGTTGGATTAGGTTTATTGTTAAGTAGAGATATCATTTGTGATCAGAAGGTCGTTCATACGGGGTGCGATTCGTTGGTGAATATGTTCACGCTGAACAAAACAAACTTTGATAAAAGCAAATCTGTGTTATCTTTGAACTAACTAGAGATGGATAAGAAAGTTAGTCATATAAAGTTACAAAACAGAAAATTGGTCGAATTGGACTTTACTTCTCACTTTGGCGAGGTGTAGCTCGGTCCTAAACTGAGCATGCTAACCAATACGCAGGTGAAATGTTTGAGGGTGCATCAAATTGACTGTTTGGTGCTGGAATCTATCAGGGCTTCTTTAGCGAGAATTTAGTGGTTCTACGACTCAGCTTCCATAGCCCGGCTATACCAGCTCTTGAAGGTCTGAAACCATCATAAGATGAGAACGTCACTCTGGTTAGCACAAGTTATATTCAGGGCGAAGTCTAGAGTTCGGTTTTCTTGATCTCTGCCGACATTTTCATCCAACTTAAGATAGCTTCAGATGGCTTTTGGAGTGGCTCTATCTCCAGTTCTGGTTTCTATAAATACACTTTAGCTAAGAACTTGAGTCATCCTAGGTCTCTTCAGGCGAGTTTTGGTCTGATAATTCAATTTTTCCACAATAAAATGATAAAATTCCCACCGAAAGGTCTTCTCTCTACGTGCTGCTTGGATGTCATCTTCACCAACAGCTGGATTCGGACTCAAGTAGTTTGCGTCGGATAGCAACACTTTATCATCATTTGGTCGCGGAGGGGGCTAAACTTTTCAAAAATTATATTTATAGTTGGAATGAATGCAACGAATTTACTTAATTTCCATTTGTGTATTTTTCAAGAGGCCACTAAGGGAAATTCAATGCATTTTGGGACGATTGTGGGTAACTTCTAATATCCTTCCTTAAATTTGTTGACCTTCCGATGTACAGAAGTGGTATGACCTAGTTTTTGCAACTTAGAAGTGCTATCATCTTGTCCAAAGTCCTCTGTATATCAGTTGTCATGATTTCCAGCGTCGGACCGTGGACATTTTACATTCGCAGATGTTTCGCCGACATCGTGAGTGATTTTTGCCAACAAACAGTTGGTAAAGGATTGATTTCACTTGTCTTTTCGACGAGTCGTAGCGTAGTTCTAGGAATGGCAAGACGCAATGACGATACCGACTACGATGACGGCGAACTTTATGGAAACGTACTTCAGACAAAGTGCGTCCAACTAGATCTCCCTGGTTGCAAAAATAAAGTCAGACCGCGGCTCTAACTCATTAACTCATTTTAAGGCTGACCTGAGATCTTATTCAAGATCGACTAATAGTCTTTAAAATCACTCATATCGATGATACTCTTTGCAATCATTACCCATGGGAACCTTGTTGAAGTTTCTAGGCCGAATCACCCCATTTTCTGTTTCAAAAACTTACATTTCTGCTTCACGTAGAGTGTTTTATTACTACCATATCCTGTCTTGCCACCCTCGGTGCTGGACCCAAATATTACTCTATCATGGCATTTTAAAATTGGTGAGTTTGACTGTAACTAAACGATCATAGATGGACAAATAGTTTCCCACTAACTAATTCCTGTATGTCAATTTCAAGATAATGCCAGATAATTTACCTTTTTCTCTTTATTTTTAACATTCCACCACCGTACACAGCCAACCTTCGCTCTTTGAGTCCGTCAATTGGCTCTTCAAAGTCCTCGGTGTCTGGCCGCCCAGCCAAGGGTCAACTCACTTCTGGTGAGCAAGCTTTGAAGCCCGGCCACAATCATCCTCAGCACCACCACCACCACCACCACCAACAACAACAACACCACCAGCAGCAGCAACAACGCTCTCAGACTGGAGAACAAATCATAACACACTATACAGGTCCCTCGTCTATTCTCCTACCAAGTGGATCTGTTGGCACCCCCGAAGATGTCAGTCACATCAGCAGTTCCGGGGCCCGCGGCCAATTGGGTCTATCTACGGAGACGCACCAGATCCATTCTTCTTCGTATTCCCCCTGCTCATCCTCATCCTCTTCATCCTCCTCGTCTTCTTCCTCGGCATTCCTATTCACAGATCCTACCACGGCGGTTTCTTCTTGCTCCACGAACAACTTGAGCTGCAGTGCCACGCTCGACTTCATGGTCAACGTGAAACAGGAGAATCTGGATGAAGACGAGGAGGAGGATGAGGAAGAGGAGGAGGAAGAGGAAGAAGAAACAGGGGGGGATGGGGATGAGAACCTTAGTCAAGGAGACGTTCTCGACGGAGATGACGAAGACGAAGAGGAGGACACAGGGGAAGGTGACAAGAGTGGCAGGGAGAACAGAACGAACCAACATACAGGGTTGCCTCAAAACTTAAAATCCTCCTTAGAAAGACAACGGCTAGATGCGTCTACAGCCAGTCCTTTGCTCTCCATCTCGACCGCACGGTCTAACCACTCGGAGACCGGCAGCGAGCTGGAGGCTTCGCGAACCCTCAATGCGTCCAACATGACAGCTCCGAGTCTGCTGACGTCATTGCGTCTGCGGATCAGACAGCGTGCTGAGCTAGGGACCACTGAAGGTCTTAGTCAACAACACCACATGGAGGAAACCCATGAATGAGTGCCTTAGGTCCATGTGGAGTTTTTCCTATTTCTTCATCTTTCATAACTATATCTTCTTCTATCTATCTATACATCCATTGTTGGGCCCCGTCCGTATCCAAGTCATATAAATTAGGTGCCAATTGCAATGCTTGGTCCTTGAAAATAGTGTTCTTTTAATCTGGGCTGCACAACCTCAAGAGGGTATTTAAAGAGGTCTCCTAGTGAGCATCCTGATTTGCTATACTGGTCCCCTATTCAATATATTTCATTCATTTAATATTTCATTCGGTTATCTTATATTTCTTGTGAGTATGCTAAAATATTACTAATTTTCAAATGAGTAGTTAGCTACCCTACTTTGCTTAGGATGGAGTTTTTTTCATAATCCTGTGAGTAGGCCTTGCTTTTTTTCGAGGCCTAGCTACTGTTTCTACTCTCGTTGTGTCTTATGAGTACCCCATTGTGGTCGAGTGGTTAACGTGTCAAGCTCCCATTCTACACTGTCACGGTTCGACTCCCGCTGGGGGTGTTGATAAGACCGATGCGAGGTCGAAACTGCAGTCCACTGGTGCCTGGAGGAGAACAACTTTTGGGAAAGCAAGGCACTGTGAAATTCAATGGAAACGTCAGATCTACTCATATCATTGTGGGAAAATTCTACTGCCAATTCTCCATCACCTTAAATGAAATAGGATTAATACATCTCATATTACCACAAAGAAGCTTCAAAATGTGGATGTGCATCCTGTGGCAACTCGTCAAAACGGCACATGTTACCTTAAAGACAAGTCATGCATTTCCCAAATTACATTTTTCCTGGAATTGTAAACGAGGTGAGAATGAATCTGTCATCTGAGGTCGACACGTTTAGAGGCATTAACTACTTCTTGACTAAGGACTTATTCATCCTAGTTCGCCTAAGGCGATATAAATAGTCCTTGCGATGTCATAGAATTTCATTTAGTCTGTTTCTTTCAAGAGCACTTTCCCATCCAGGATTGTGTGGAATCTCGTACTCACCTAGGACTCACCAGAACATGTTATTTCGGAAGTGCCACTTGCCATCTTACTCGTGTGGTTGTGTAGTGGAATGGCAGTTTAGAATCAATCTAGGAGTGATGATCTGATCTGGGCTCGGTTAGAAATGCATTCTTTCTTGGGAGGTAAAATTTTTTTACAAGTACAGCTAGGTGAACTTGATTATAATTACGGAATTGTCTTGTACTCAGGAGAATAATGATACTGGGAAGAAAAGTTGGGTTTCGAAGAATCTCTTGTTTCATAATTGTTGAGTTTACATCCATTTCTAGTGAAAGTGTTGGGTGAAGAGATTCGAATGTCGATTCCACCAGAAGACGACGGCGGATTCCTCTTGACCAACTGTCGATTGGCTTTACTGGAACATTAG